GCCACTCGGACGTCAAGACGTGTCACAACGAGCAGCAATCGAAAGAGTATCAAAGATATCAACTATAAGGACATCAGCTCAACAGAAGAGGTTGTATTTGGTTGTATTGTTTCGTTTGTTTATTTGAGACTGAAAAAGAAAAGCATTTTCATTCTGACTTCAAAATCTGGTCTAACGAAGTTGATTAACTCGAATTTGAAATTATATGAAGGAACTGCGTGAAGTTGAAGTGTGGAAGAGAATTTCATTTGTCTTGAAACATTTTCAATATATTTTTTATTTGAAAAGAAACATTTGGTGAGTTAAATTCAGCTCTTTATAAAGAAGAGTTTTGAAGGTGTTTATTTGCAGATCAATTCGGATGATGTGTTGGAATGGGATGAAGGTGATACGGTGGACGTGAATGCGATTGGTGAGCATGGTGTGCCCGGAACGGAAACAATCGAGAAAGTTATACGGCATCGAGCCGGCTATCCGGGCGCCACAGGTTCGGCAACGACCTGCTATAATGTTGAGGATAAAGGTGATCCGAACGTGAAACCCACATCAGGTACTTGGAACCTTTAATGTCGTTGATATTCTGAGCCATTTCCAGTAGAATATGATGATTATTCATTTGATTTACTTCAGATTGTTCAGTACTCGTTAGGTTATGCATAGATTGTTGAATTGTTTGAATTGATCCGAGAGTATTGATTTGAAATGAAATGCGATGAGAGATCTTTTTACTTGCATCATCAGTTTATGAGCGAATTGGCTACAGATGACGAGAAAAGTGTTGAATTGGAACGACAATTTCTGATCAAATGGTTGGGATGGTCACATCTGCACAACACTTGGGAATCAGAGACGAGTTTGAAGGCAGTGAACGCGAAAGGAATGAAAAAAATTGATAATTATATGAGGAAATTGCGTGAAATTGAAGAATGGTATGGAAGAGAATTTCATTTGTCATGAAACATTTTCATTTTTTATTTGAAAAGAAACATTTGTTGGTGAGTTTAATTCAGCTCTATAAGGGGAAACTTTTTGAAGTTATTCTTTTGATTAAACATATCAGGATCGATGCTGAATGTGAGAAGTGGATATGTAGATGGATGCAGCACAACCTATAAAAAGGCTTTGTTGCGATATGTTGAGGTGTGTTTGCGGATAAACTTTATTCATTCAGTGTTTTTGTTTGGTTTTCAGGAAATCGACGGCCGATAAAGAATATATTGAGTTTTATGATTGTGAACGTGAAATGAACGA